ATAAACTTCTTTCCACAGTTGACACCCGATTTAAAGCAACGTAAAGCATTTACATCTTGCATTTCTCTCCGGAGAAACGAAGAAAACTGGAAACAAAGTTACCAGCAGACAAACATCAGATGGTGCAGCTTCGCTTGCAGCAATCATAGGTAAGTGCGTCACTAACATGAAGAACAGGAATGTTTACAACTGTATTGCAAGAAAGATCTATAATTATTCCAGACATGCTCAAGAGCTCATGCAAATAAACTCACCTCCATGCCTTTATCTCCCTTTCTTCCCGGATATCCGGCCGGACCTCTTTCTCCCTTTGGTCCTTGAATTTTGATCATTTCCGGTGACTGCGCCATTTCCCACTCGCCTGGAAAACGTCACAGGAAAAAAAAACAGCACTTATTGCTATTTTATCTAACTACTGTTTAATTGACCCTTACTTCCTTTTGTATTCATAGCTGCAGACGCTTGCAGAACAAGGCACAATATTCTCAAAAAAAAAAAAAATAAATAAATAAATAAAAGATAATGCTGATACACAGAGAAATCCGACCGAAGCCTCATATTAATGATTTTGCGGACATACTTCTTGATCGTTGCAGTGCAGTTACGATCTGAGCTACTCGCAAGTACGACTGCCACAAATGCTCCAGGCGTGTGTCCAATTCACCAATATGCTATAAACAAATTTGATAGAAGCAGCTTATTCGCAACCTAATAAAATCAAGGCTGGAATGCAAGAGGCTACCGATGCGATTATGCATTTTTGCACTAAAATTGAAACAATCAGGTCGTTAACTATATGAATGGTTCGTGCTTTTACACTTATCTTGTGTGCTCACAAGCGCAAATCATCGTAAATTTTGCATAAAGAAAAGTGAATAATTTCTGTTGAACAGTCGTTCATTCAAAATGATAGCGCATTTTCTCTCTCTTTCACACAGGACGTACGTCAAACTGTCAGTACTAATTAAATCTAGGTTGCAACACACCAGGCTTGCCGATGCAATTATGCATTTTTTGTGCTAAACTTGCAAATCGCTAACAGCAGGAATGATTTCTGCGCTGTAATTTAACACTTGAACTCGAACTGGCTGTGTTTTGGCTTTTTCCTGCATGCAAGGGGAAAAGGGCGTCAGTTGGGACAAAAATGTTGCACGATCCAGCCGCATGGACCTCCAGCGTGAATGATTGACGCTTTTGTGCATGAAGCCCGGTCGCTTTCCACTGAACGCTCGTTCACTGAAAAAAAAAAAAAAAAAATGCAAATTTGAAAGAAATCGGAAGAGGATTACGAAACTGGCAAAACGCATCCGCTTTTGAGTGTGCGATAAAAACTGAGTAATCGTCATATTCGCGTGCATAGAATTTCACTTCCAAGCTGAATTAAAACCAATCGCGAATGTAGGATATCCTTGCATAGTTTTAGCTTCGCGACTTGTCACTTCGCTACAAATATATTTGAAGTGCACTAAGTTATGGCGCAAGTACAGATCGAAACTCAATTTAGGAATACGATTTTCCAAATGAATATTGACAAAATTTCAGCTACTGTTTTCTGACTGGTTTTCAAGTTAGCAAAGTACAAACTGCCAACTGTGACGTGACTGTATGCGCGGTACAAGCATGTGCGATATCAGAATTTGACAACACTGGCTCATACACGCACAGAGAATGTACTTGCGAAGACTCAGCCTTCTATCTTATCTGGATTACGAAATCGTCCCCAGCCAATGAAATATACATAGTTTTTCGGAGGGACTCTACGCGAGTTCTAGGCGTGTATGAGCAAGGCTTTAAAATGGGAGGGTTCGTGCTGTAGTAATATGGCTTGGAATCCAGAATATTTGACGTACCGGTTCTCAAAGTTCAGAAAGTTAATTGTGCAACGACATAGTACTTGGACAGGGAACATTTGTTGAAATTTCAGCTTTCCAACTTTTCTAGTTTCCGAATTAGCAATTTTCCCGTCAAAAATTTTGGAGAGCCCGTACGTAACTGGGGACTGAATTTAAAATTTTTAGTCAGGGAACATTTCCTTAAAATTTCTGTTTCCCAGCTTTTCCGATTCGTGAGTTAGCGATTTTCCCGCCAAAAATTTCATGTGCCCGCATGTAGCGCCAGACGTTTGTGAATGTTGTTATCGCGGTCCTGGGATGGCACTTAACTGGAGAACCTACTCAAAATTTTTTTTTGACGTCGGAGCTTGCTTGGCTGCCAAATTGAAACACCTGGACAGATACACACGCACATACAAAAATACACACACTTATACACACACGCACACCTGCAGGCACGCACATACAAACATACACACACTCGTACATACACATACACATTCACACTCATACATACACATTCACACTCATACATACACATACACATTCATACAGACACTTACACCATGGGTCGTCATGATATGCGTATTTATGCGTTTTGTGTTGTGTAACAGCAGTACAAAATGCATATTGTCACAGGGTTTTCTGTATGTGTATGTGCGTGTCCACAGCAACTTGTCTGCAACTTTCAACTCGGGAATCACAAAAGCTAGGAAGCTGAAAATTTAGGGGAATGCCCCCTACCCATTTGTGACTCCGCAAATTTAAATTCAGCGTATCGAGGAAAAGCGCCTCGAATGGAAACAGCAAACAAAGCAAACGGAAAAGATACATAAATTACATGATTTTGTGTTTCGCAGTACCGTAACTTCCTTTGTATAACAGTGCCGTCATCAAACATCGGCACCAATCATATATTCAGCTCTTTTTGTAAGCTGGACCCAACTGGAGCGAGGCGGAGCTCCAGATTGGCTCGGTAGCCGATTTTTTTTCGGCAAATTTTTAGTGTTTGTTTCTACATCGACCGGACGCCGCCTACCAACATCATCACACCGACCAGACACCGTCTATTAACATCAGCACGTCGTCCGCCTCAGACCTTACCTTCCACCATTTTTTTTCTTATTGTTATTTGCTATCGCATAAATATACCTATGTTACCTCTAGTTAACAAAAACAATTGAGGTTAAGCATAATAACGATAGGAAACTCCAGAAAACTCAAGGTCGGAGAAAAAAAACTTGTGTTTTCATCACACAACTCCCC